ATAGATTGGGATGAGTTAAGCAATTTTTTAAATCTATCTCTATAGATCAACTTATTTTTCCCATATTTATCACGGAGAAATTATTTGACAACCATAATTTCAACAATTGAAATATAAGGACGTCGTTTCCTATAATATGTTTCATACATATAATATTAGGAATGTGGCAATGCTCCACTATCTTCTTGTAGACACAGGTCAGGTTGTTGTCCCCTGGATGTGGCGGAGGCTTTGGCCTTACGGGAAGGACTCCTATTTGCCAAAGCTAATGATTATGAGATTTGTTACTTCTGAGTTTGATTCTTTGTTGGTTATTCAAATAAATAAATCATTGACGTTGAGAATGCTTTTACGTTTTGGACATTTATTTATCTTACTGATTTGGGTTATTTCTTCGTTTTTCAAAATTTTCCCTTGAGTTTTAAAAGAGTAGGATTTGATCAGATCTAGTCCCCCGGTACAAGCATATTTTTAAACTTGGGGAAAAATTGCATTTTGAAAGCTCAATTTGATGAAGTGGCAGCTGATTGGGAGAATTCAACATTCATTTGGTGCCACGTGCTAACAAGTGATGAATGGAAAGCATTTTTAAAGTTCAATATGACATTCGGACAAAATTTTAAAGTTTAGCCCCCGTTTGGACCACCTTTTTATCTCACTAAAATGAAAAATATGACCGTTATCCATCATATCAACATTTAAATTCAAATTTTTCATCTCTTGTGTGGGCCCAATAACAACTACATTTTTCATTCTCATTCTACAAATAGGTGGCTCAAACAGGGCCTTAGACATGTTTGGTAATGTGACCCAAGTAAAAATAAATAACTCTAAGGGGCAAGTTTGATACAATGTATAAGGGTAATTAACACATAACGTCTCAATCTTTGACTACTATTGTTGAAAATGTCCATACCTTTCTTTTTTGGCATTTTCATCTTTATTTCCACCTCTCATTGAGCAAAATGTCATTTTCATCCATTTTCTCAATTAAAAATTATGAAATGACAAATATACTCATCTCTTTCAATAAAACAAAAATAAAAAAGGAAAAGGAAAAAAATTAATTATAACTATAGTCCCAATTTTTTTAAAAAAAGGCAAATGAATTATTAACATGGTAATTAGCACATAATGTCTCAATCTTTCATTATTATTGTGAAAAATATCTTTACCTTCTTCTTTTTTTTATATATATATTTACACCCTTAATTACACATTTGATTGCAAAAATCATTTTTTCTATCCAATTTCTCGTAAAAAAAACTGTGAAATGATGAATATATTCTCATATTTAAATAAAAAAATTAAAAAATTAATTGCAACTATAATCCCAATTTTTAAAAAAAGGTGTAATCGAGTCACAAATAAATTATAAAAAAAATTAAAAATTATTTTTTTAAAAAAAAAGTGCAAACGAGTCCCAGATGAATTATTAGAAATTAGTTTTTTTTTTTTTTTTAAAAAAAAAAGTGCAAACGAGTCCCAAATAAATTTTTAAAAATAAGAAATTAAAAAATAATAATTTTATTTAGTTTCCTTACCAGATTTTTTTAAATAGCGCAAAATAGTCTGAAATAAATTATTAAACGTGTAATTACCACATAATATCCCTACTTTTCATTATTATATTGCGAAAAAGTTCATACCTTTTTTGGCATTTTTACTCTTAATTACAATTTGATTGCGCAAACCATCTTTTCTATCTAATTTCATCCAATTTCTCAATAAAAAGTTGTGAAATGACGAGTATAAACTCTTATTTAAATAAAAACATATAAAGAATTAATTTCACTGATAGTCCCTTTTTTTTAAAAAAAAAGTGCAAACGAATCCCCAATAAATTATTTAAAAATTAGAAATTATTTTTTTTTAAAAAAAAAAGTACGAACAAGTCTTAATTAGATTTATTAAAAAATAAAAATTAAAAAGTGCTAACGAGTCCCAAATAAATTATTAAAAATTAGAAATTTTAAAAAATTAATTTGTTTTAATTTTTTTTAAATAGGAGGGTATATATTAATCACTTCACAACTCTTTATTGAGAAATTAGATGAAAATGGATAGAAATTGTGGTTTGCGCAGTTAAATGTGCAATTAATGGTGAAAATGCAAATAAAAAAAAAAGGCAGTGATGTTTCCGCTCTCATAGTGAAAGCTAATGACATTATGTGCTAATTACATTTTTAATAATTTATTTGTGATCCATTTGCTCTTTTTTTAAAAAAAAAATTGGACTATGTCTGCAATTATTTTTTTCCTTTTGTTTTATTTAAACATAAGGGTATATTCGTCATTTCACAATTTTAATTGAAAAAATGGATGAAAAAAGACATTTTGTGCAATGAAATATGGAAATACGGTTGAAAATATCAAAAAATGAAAGGTGAGAATGTTTTCTACAATAATAGTGAAAGGTGAGAACTTTATGTGCTAATTACACCATTGTATAATTAGGAGCTAGGATTAGAACGGATAATTTGGTATTCCATTTTATCGTATTAGAAACATGTACAAGTATTTAAAAAAATCTTTTTTTTCAAGAATTTTTTATGCATAAATGTACTTATAAGTAATCTCTTGTACTTATTAGTGATTTTCTACTTATAACTAATTTTATAAATTAGAGCGAATTTTCACTCGAGTGATTTTCCCACTTATCAGTAAATTTTTTCCTTACAATTAATCTGTTACTAATACATAAGTTTTTCACTTAAAAATGAAATTTTAAGTTATAAATGAAATTTTTTTTTACTTATAAGTGATTTTATACATATTCACAATTCATTTTTTACTCATAAATGGATTTTTTTTAAAGTTCTTTTTCAAGTAAATTCACTTCTTTCAATTCAAGTTTTCTTTTTCTTTTTTTCAAAAATCATGAATATTAAATTATCAACACAGTCTAAATCCTCCCTTATTTAGCGAATTAAATTTATGTGATTTATCCAAGGAGGACAAACACCCCAATTTAATTTAATTAGGGCATTAATTGTATGCACCTAATACTCGATAAAGATTTCACACCTGTTCAATTTCACATCATCAAGACAATAATTGAATATTTCTTTCTGTAATGTTCAAAGATTATTGCAAGCAACGAAACAAACGTTACTTTTACCATATGTGATCAAATTATTTTCAACATACTTTGCGGCACAAATGTTCTTTAAAGCAAGATTTAGTGTGTGTACACACTTGGTGTCCAAAAAATAAGAGGATACTCCAATTCAATAATTTGCCCGGCACCATTGCAATTTGGAGCATTATGGATTATTACTTGAACAACATTTTCATGACAAATTTCATTTATAACATCCTTCATCAAGTTAGCAATAAAATATTTATCATTCGTTTCACTAGAACAATCAACTGCGTTAAAAAACATTGGTCCACTCTCGATCACTGCCATAAAATTAATTAGCGGTCTTCTTTGTGGATCACTCCATCCATCTCTTACAAGAGTAACTCTTTTTTCCACCCATGTGCCTTTAATTAGGTTTAATAATCTTTTCACATTTTTTCTCTCTTTTTGAAGAAGAATAGTTCTCAACTTGTTATAATCGGAAGGCAAATACCTTGAAATTTGACTATTGGAAGTAAGAGTAAAAGAACTAATGTAACAAGGATTTCTTGCAAAAGTAAAATGCAAACCACTTGAGTAGAACATTCTAACAATTTCGGAATCCAATTGGTCATGTGTTGTCACGTTAAAGGCATTTTCTATTGCATTATTTTTTTTCCTCCAAAACATAACAATCCTTAGAACTCATATTATCCGACGGTAATGGTACTCCTTTCCCCGCCTTAGTTTGCATTCTCAACTTGTATTCATCTTTCGTTTTTTGCATTTCACATATATAATTACTTTTCCACAAACCCCAATTCCATAACCTTGTAAGTTTAACAAATGTGTCATCACTCTTGTATATAAACTTATCTTAGCCTCGTTACAAAAATTACATTGCCAAAGAATGTTACCACCATTTTCATTAAATTTATCAAGTTTTGTAACATATTTCCAAAGAGGTTTAGATAAATCATCATCCATAGCATTACCACTCAAAATTTCAAAAGAAAAAAATTAAAATACTTAAATAAGATAATAGTAATATTACCCGAAACTTGAAAAAAATATATTCTTCTTGATCTTGCAAATAATTGATGAAATTTTTGAAAGAGGTGAAATAATAAAGGAAAATTTAAGTGGATTTTTTAAATTTCTCTTGCAATTTTTGTAGATGATAATGAGGAAGAAAATGTATTTAACTTCTTATGTAAGTTTTGTTTTTTTATTGAAGGGTAAAATGGTAAAAAATTGATTCAAATAAAATTTTCCCTATTTCTTTTGTCAAAGAATACAGTTGAAACAAAGAATATTGATAAAAAAAACGTACATTACAATACTGAAAGATAAATTTTACAGTGGTGGGCCCAAAATTTAAAAATTGCGTTAGTTTGGGTAAGACTTTGATTTCCCTGAGCAATCTCTTCATTTCCTTTCTTTTCTCTCTTTCTTCTTTCCCTCGTCGGACGACCTTCATTTCCTTTCCTTTCTCTTCTCTCTTTCTTCTTTCCTTCCCCAGGCGACTTCTTTCCAAACTAGTCGCCCCCAGTTGAATTTCTTCCCAAGTATTCAACAGTCACCGTTCATTTCTTCTTCATTTCTTCCTCCCACCTATTTTTCTTACTGATTTCTTCAAACCATTTCCTTTTCTCGCCTTTGACAGGCCGCAACGAACTCCGACACGCATCGGCGGCGTACCGGTGTCCAATACGTTGTCACCGACAGCACGTCCGTGCTTCTGAGAAGGAAAGATTCCTTCACAGCTCTAATGTGGTAAGGAGACAATGCTCTTGACATACCTCTCAATGCTTGAGACCCCATCCTCTGTGAGCTTCTAATGAATCTAGATTGGCACAAGTGTACAACTGTCCATATTGCATGTTTGCAAGTATATTGGAAAAACTCAAACACATATAACGGTATCTTGAATCAAATCTTGATCCATTATAAAAATAGGTACTACAATTAATTGTAGTGTGCAGCAACTATCATTGACCAAACAAGTAGACACGCAGATGTAAATTTGCAGCACTAAATTAATCATCATACAAATTTGAGTTGGGTAAAAGAATACTTTTCCGCTACTATTATAGTAATCATCATAACAGTGCAAATATTTCATTTTATTTCCTTATCCTGTAGACATACACTAAACTTCTTTACAGACTGGTGCATGCATCAAAGAGAAAAAGCCTACTAAGTAAAATGTATATTGAAGACAAGTACAGATAAATCAAGGAATTGTACCTTTAATATGCACAAGAATCAATAATTCAAGCCACGGGTCTCGTGCCCCACATGTAGTTCATATGATGCTGATACAGTTTCTACTCCAATCTACCATTTGTGGTTCACAAACTTTCTCACTGTAAAAATACATAGGTACTAAATACATATTTGCATTACCTAGAGGTTTAATAAATATTCTCCTGCTTAACCTCAGCACTTCCTGAAGTCGCCTTTGGTGCACTTCTCTTGCTTTGAATTTGGTGGACAAATTCAGCAACTACCACATGGAACTTGGGAGCAAGCTTACTTGTCGAAGAGACATTAAGACCTGCCTTCTTCAAAGCACGTGCCACGTGCTTTTCAGCCTTTTGAAAGTGGAGAGGGCAATAAGAAGGAACTGTTGATCTTAGTATTGGTTTCCCACAAAGTATAGGTCCTGTAGGCGAACTGGCAGAAGACAATTACAAAAGAATATTAAACAATTATTCTCACTAAAGGTAAGATTACGAGATAGAGAAAAAATTTAGTACCCAGAAAGGTCTTCTATTGGTTTGATCTTGTTGCAGATATTGTTATCTTAACAGAAAATTAATTGTGAGAAGTATTTTCTCCATAACCAAAAAGGAAGGGGTACAGAATATACAGTGTCATCAAAAAATATATCGCTACCTAAACTATCCACATAAATGGGAGAATATTAACCATCCTTCACGACAAGTATATTATACTTCAGATCAAGATTCTAAACATATTCATGATCAAGGAGATACCCAATTGCAACTGATTGTATAAGTAACAATGACACCAATCAACTATGAAAAGTATCATCAATTTAAAACCTATATTCCATTGTTATATCTCAAAATTTCATCTGATGCATGCAGAAAATTCAGATTTAATGTAATGATCACTTGTGACTCAGATCTTCATAATTATCTCGTCGTTCATGACAAACTTGGGCTGGAGAGAAACTAGGTCAGAAAAAAATATAAATAATTTACATTGTTCTTTTCTACATAACATCAAAACTGAAAATCACAAAAACTCACAATCTAAAATGCCAAGTAAAGAAACAATTACTAGGAAAAATACACCACTAATCTACAGCACGTAATACACATCTTTTCACAACAGAAAAATTTCACCAAGCGAAATCATATGGTGGATACTGTGCAGCAAGAACATCAACATGTACGATTAGAATTAATTATTGGATACAATCCTCGATACAAATCTTGAAATCCACCAACTTAGTCCGAAGCTCATAACACTTGTTCAGTTGCCATGCTCAGGCATACCTCTTCTATCACAAAAAGACTACTAAGTGGTCTAAGGAAGCTAGAAAGTGTGATGGCAAAGGAACTCAGTACTTCATTCAATAGCTACTTCAGTCCTTTTGTCAATGACTCATTTCCATTTCTATTCCCCCGAGCCTACCCAGAAAAATCCTCCTTGTTCTGGACTATTACTGATGTAATCATATGGCTCAATTTGTTCATTTTTTTTTCCAGCAAAAAGAAAAAAAGAGTTCTTCATCTCTCGAAGGCTGGAGAAAGGGGAGACATGCTGAAATATGTCAGTTGGTGATAATACGTGCCAATAGTTTCAAGGCAGACTGTACAACAGTGAGCAATCTACTAAGTTAATCTTAATACTGATTATCTTTACAGCAAAAAGAATTTAAGTAAATCTGTGTGATCATGAAATGAGCCTATTCAGCCATACATAGTCAGATCCAACAATAAAAAAGAATCACCATAGATAATGTCCTCTTACTATTTTGTCACAAAACAGTTTACTTTCAAATGAACACCTATTAACTTGCATGATCTATTGCATTCCATCAAGACCCCAGGACTTGACATTCTCCTTCAATTCTAAGCTTGCTACTTTATGTCCACAAACTGAAGGATCAAGCAGAAATCTGAGTTGGCAATTGTCGTCTAGTCTTCAACCCATTTAGGATAGACTTGAGTGACTTTTGCAGTCTTTATTTTCATCAAATGACTAGGAGGCATAGAAGATTTGCTTTTTGTGCACCAGTGGCAGAAGGGATAGTGAGCAAGAGGGAAGGCATCTCTCGAATACCAAAAGGGGGGAAGATGCGAGAACTCGAATTTCAAAACCTTCGGACCCACTGCTTAGAAATATAAATGGGAATCTAATTACTAATCTTGTCAGGAGCGATATAATCATTCAGATTTGGAAGTCAAAAGCACATATTTCTGTTTTTGACAACTCAATTTTTTTGTGAGACGAAATCTAAATTTTAGAAATGGCCATAATCACCCAAGATTAAACCCCAGCTTGGTTTAGTTAAAAAAGTTGATAAAAATCTATATTTAAATCAACAATTAATTTTAATCACACATTTCATAAACCCACAATTTTTATCAACTTTTCAAATATATAATTCAGCAATTTTTATCAAAATCTATTAAAAATCTGATTTTTCAACTAATCCATACACGGGCTAAATATCTCAGAGAAAACACATCTAAGGCAATTCCTTCTTGAAATATTGTCTCTAAATCTACCACATGGTTTCGTGTCTTGAGATAAGAAACAAGTCCAATTTTTTGAGGCTCTAAGCTCCTGTTTGGTGGCCATTTTTTGGGAAAAGTATTGCTTTAAATAGTGATTTTTTGAAGAATGTGTGATCAAAAAGTACGAAAAAGTTTTGGGTTTACATGAATATTTTATTGTATGAATGTGTGATTGAAAATGAGTATGTAGAAAAAGAGTTTTGAAAAATTGGGAGACAAATAAGAGCTAAATATGAATGTGAAATCTAGTTTAGGTGTTCGATTCTGCATTCTCACATCTGGGTGATTTAATATTTTATTGCAGAAGTTACTTAGATTCACCAAAACCATAAGCACTGAAACTACCAAAAAAGTCACTTATCTCATGCTTAACAAGCACAGGTATTTTATCTTACAACCAAAACCAAAGCACGGCAAATGTGCATATTCTTGATCAATATTAGTTAGAATAGATTTCCAAAGTCCTGAAACATCCACAACCCATATATCAAGGTAATGTCTTTCTAACACAATGTTCAAGAAATCAACTGATACAATAAAGATAGTACAAATTTGGCCAATAAGGTACTATGCCAGGAGATCAAAATACAAGATTTCATAATAGCACAAAAGAAACGCTTACACTCCAGGTCACACAATCCACAACTTCAGTGTGTAGACTGAACCTCTCAAGGAACGTATTTGGTTGACACACATTAAATGATCACACTTGCACCTTATTTAATGCACAAATCTGTCGTATGGACACTTCAACTAAGGTAGCGTATTCATGTCAAGACACGTATAAGATACCAAACATTTCTCGAACACTATACCAGAATCATTTTCCTTTTTATTAAAAATATTACATACTTTTAACTTAAAGTTTAGTAAATAACGAATAGGTACTCATATTTAAAGGACTTCAACAAGAAAAATTAATAACATGTATAAAATTAAATTTATAGTATATAAATGAAAAATTTAAAGAAATTAATCAACGTGCCGGCAACGTATCGTCGTACTTTTTTGAAAAATTGCATGTCAACGTATCCAACCCGTGTTGTGTCAGTGCATCCATACCCTGCTCATCCTTTATGGAGATGAAAATCAAGAGTGATTTAATGCCTGATTATAGATATACATATTCAAAGGCTCCCGCCTGTCTGAGGCTTACAATACCTAGTCTTTTACTTAAATATGTCATGTGGGATGAATGCTAAGGTAAAGCTATTTTTCATAACTTCCCAAATGTTCGTATCTCATGAACTTTTGAAGATTCTCGTTCCATTTATATTACATTTTTAGATATACCAATAATAAATCGTGAAATTCTTTCTACTTATAATCACAATAAAACTTTTCTCATGACTTTAGATGCTTTGGGCACATGAGAATCAAATTCTTCAAGTCAATATGCAGGCATCGTTTCCAACTAACATTTTTAAAGCACTGTTTGGAATGAAAATTAAAACTCCCCAAGCAGTTCATTCCCAAAATCAAGTTGCACTATTTATGGCAAAATGTAAAAGAAACCAGCAAACACATCAAATTAAGCAGAAAAAGAAAATGAATATTTTGGATAGGATTCTCATTGTAGACTGTATAACAATATCAAAGTGCAATATTTGCAAATTAGTGGTTGGTGGGAACAGCCAAGACAGAACCCTATGAGCCGAACAATCGTGTTTGCTCAAGCAATATGAAGCAAGGAATGGAAGGCAATAGACTTAGTTCTTTCATCTTGGTGTTCCCCTCTAGATAGGCAACATTATATGGATTCTCTTTCTTCTTCTTCAGAATTTCTTCAGGAGAGATGCAGATGAGTTGTATATTACAATGCTTTCCTGGTAAGAAATTTGAAGAGAGGGAGCAAAGGAGGGAGGGAGAGGAGATATTTGGTCTCTTCACAGAACTATTAAAAACTATAGTAAATTACACTAAGACTCTGCCTCTTAAAATATTATAGAAACCACCCCTTAAGGCACAAACAAATATACTTTTAGCCTAAAGAAAATTAATCTCTCTCTTTTGCAAAAAAATGTTTTGGCACACAGAATATTTTGTTAAACTAAACCTTAGGGGAGTTTTCAAAAAATTTTGAAAAGAGGAGGGTCCTTTTAATCATCAGTTAACACAGAAAGTATTTATGAAATTTACTCTAAAAACTATCAAATTTAATGTTCAAACAATGGCATTAAAGAAATGACATAAATTCACACTTGAGACACATAATTCATTACAACGATAACGACAAGCTTAGTCTAAATAGCTAATCCTAATCAACTTTGGGACAACTACATAATCCTTTTTACCCCACTCATTATCTCTTGCACAACATCCACTAAAAGGTTCAATGAAATGAATTGCTTTGCAACCACATCATACAATGTTGATGTATAAGAACAACAGGAAGTTAGGCATTACTTCTCATAAACATGTATGGACTACACATTTCCTTTTTCACCATCCCTTTCAATCCATTACTACATAATGGTCCGACAAACTTAAATCTTTTGCTATCAAATTAGGTCATGTTAACTTTGATTTGTATCTCTTTATTTTCTAACTTGTTTCCCTCACATTACATAGCTTTGTTAAATAGAAAATTATTTCTTTCCACAGACATACCGCAACCATCCAAGTTGTCTATTCTCTTAATTTATCCTGAATTTTAAGTTGTTGCCGTACATCCTTATAACTAATTGTAACACATTCATCTTATCATCTATGTATCTCTAAAATTCATCATATGAACATTTGTCCTTCAATGATGTGACAACCCTTACCATATAATGTTAGTTGGTTTAATAATTGTTAACCACGTCATCTAAGCTTAAATGGTTAGAGAGAACATATTTATTTATTTTTGTTGCCTCCCACATGCTCCCTCTACAAGACAAATTCATATATTTATTAAAGGTTTGACTAAGCAAAACCCATGTCTAGGTCCTAGTTATGATACTATTTTAAGTACTTCATCAAAAAGCTACTATTTGAGAGGGGGTATTAAATTATTTAATTGTTCTCCAATAACAAATTCCGAAGGACTTAAACCTTTAGGTAACATGTATCTTTGGGAATTCTATATTCCTTCCAACAAACTATACCCATACATAATGTTCTTTTCAAGTTCCCGGGCCTTCTTGATAACTGAATCTACATACTTAACCCAATCACTCTTTAGGACAACATGATCCCTTATCTTCTACGATGCAATGACATGGACAATTAAAGCTGACACGCATTTTTCAAAACAAGTGTTGACACGACACATCGATTAAATTCTTTATAATTCTCCATTTAAATTAGAAATTTAATTTTACATTAGTTATTTATTTTTCTTATTGAAATATGATTACCTATTTGTTATTTAATAATAACTTTGAATTAAAAATATATAATATTTATATAAAGAAAGAAAAATGACTATGGTAGTGTGTCTGAGGAGTGTCGTTATTCAATACGGACATGTTACCCTGATTGAAATGACCGTGCAACAGAACGGGTATCTTTATTCTTATTACGAGCAAACATTATATGGATTATTTCTTAATTCTTCATAACCCAATACCTATAAATTCAAAGAAGGATCATCAATTAAAACTACATTATTATCAAATAACGTACACCAAAAGATCTTGTCAAACATGCTCCTTTACACAAATCTACAATAATACAAAATTCTCTACTACTACCACATCTCGCATCCATCACCACTCCATCATATACTTCCATAATAATATTGAAATATATAATAAATATGTTTTGCCCGTTAGTTTTCATGCAGTTTCTTCTATCTCCAAAATAAAATTTATACCATATCAGAAAAAAAAAAAAACACCTAACTAAATGGAACTTGTACTCTTTAACACCTTCAAGTTACAATTTTAATATATACTCAATCATTGTATCCTATAATCGTATAGTATTATTTGTGACATAGACACTTTCATAATCCATACTTCTCTAATATAGTTAAAATTTCTACCTTTACTGTTGCGTCATCGATTAAATAACTTATCAAAATAGTTCTTCCATTTTTCACAAATCTAATTTTTATAAAGTAAACTATCTACTTTCACATACTTAATTACTAATGCGGATGTTAATGCAAGTTAATTTATTTTGCAAATTGTTACCGTAATAATTTCTTTAATTATATTGACATGTTATGTCCAAGTAATAATTTACAGTTATCCTTTCTATGCTTCATATTTCCTACTCCAAGCCATTTGTTGCTAAGGGTGGGTGGGGATAAATTTCCAAAACTTGTCTAACCAAACAAGAACCAAATTGAATTGGTTAGTGCTCGGACCAATTCAATAAATAAAAATTAGCGTTGGTAATTGTAACTGAGAATAGGACCATTCAGTCAGGTTTCCGGTTTTTAGCTTCAAACCGATGGAAAGCTGCCTAACCATATTTTTTTGGATAATTTGCATAAGTGAACTGCACTAACCGACATCATACCTTTCTCCACTATAAATGACAAACAAGAAACCCTACAGACATATGACGCCATATCGCAAAGTCCTTTATTAGTTCAGCTTTGGTCTTTCTTGCTTCTTCAGTTGTGCATTTTGATCCCAATTTTTCTCTCTTACAGTCAAAGACCCAGCATTATTTGTCTTTCTCTGCAGAATCTTAATTGAGATTCAGCAGCAACTGCAGACAGAAAATGGGAGGATTCTTTCTCCAGGTTGTTATTCCAAAGAAGATTTATTCGAGTCTGGCATTCTGTATTTCTTTACACTAGAACTAAAGATATATAAGGTAGACAGAAAGTTTATTACATGATATGTTCCCTTATCTTTTCTTGCACTAAGATGACCCGTGTATTCTCTTCATATAAATGTGTGCATAATGGAGGAATAGAGAAACACTGAATGATAGAAGTCTCACAGTTTGATTCAGGTGTGATGTGTTAAAGAAACTTCAAAATAGCTGGTAAATTGATCAGTGGGAATTAAGTTATAAATTAAGATCAATGCAACGGATAGAACCAGACCGACAAGCCCTGGATGGTATCGGTCCAGTTCATTTCTGCCTTTATAATTTTGAATTTAAACATTTTCGGTCCAGTCTTGAGTAAAAGCAAACCAAGCAGATTCTTTACCACCTCCATCTGTTGCAATAAAAATGTCTCCGCAGCAATTGCATTAAATTTATAAACTTTTAAAGCTTCTACCATGCAGTTTCTCATAGACATTGTATTCTACCTTCGAAGAAAATAGCATTTTTTCCAAATTTTTAGCTTACAGTCAGCCAATTCATGATGTGTCCACACAGAAAACATCATTTACTCAGCCAGAGCGACTAATACCGCACCAGCAAAAAATACTAACTATAAACACAAGCCAATAATCCCAAGCAGACAAGAATATAAATGACGATTACCGGTGCATTCCATTTGTGCTGCTAATTAAGAGCAATCTTTAAATAAAATGTAAGAAACGCCAATAATAATTGATAACCCCAAATGACGCAACCGAAAAATTAAGGTGCAGCAGACAAAACAAAAGGCTACAAGAGCCCGCGTGAAAACGCTGTACAGTATTGAGAGAAGGATGTACAACGCACCAAATTATATACAATTTAAGGGAAAGATATCAAAGATAAGAAGCAAACCTCTTAATGGAGAAATTGCAAGCCTTGTACAACTTCTGCTTCGAGTCAGACAGTATATGCATATGACAAAACCTCGTCATTGCCATGGCCTTCGCCTTGCAACCATGAACCCCACACCTATTAATAATATAATTCCCATTATTAACCATTGGATGTCCATTCTTATTACCACTCCCATTATCATTCTCTTGGATTAATCTTGTTCCATCCCCGCGATTCGAATTGATTTTCTCGTTCTCTCCAACTTCTTGAAAAGGGCTTTTGCCGTACTCCCAGCAGTACTCTCTGTACTTGATTTTGAGCTCCTCCATTAACGCCCAGTAATGGTCCCGGTAAATCCGGCTCAGTTGCTTGGCCCGGAGGGACCGGCGTTTTAGCACTTCGGGTCGGGTCAGATACTCGGACTTGGATAAGGCCAAGTCCTCTTCGGATCCATCGATTCGCATTGGACCCGTTGAAAATGACGACGAAGGATAAATCATGTCAGCGGTGAAGGGTTTGGCGTGCACAGACAAGGGTTTTTGGTCGTGTCTGCAAGGGAGGGGAGGAGCAGAAAGGGTGTTTTGGTGGTGGTCGGCCGTAGGTAGCATGACTTTTCAAAGAAACAAGTCTTGTGAAGATGAGAGAGAGAGAGAGAGAGAGAGAGAATTGTCCTTTTTCTGTTTGGTTTTGTTTCCGTAGTATATAAAATCACTTGGAAAGAGACATTACATTGAAAGGGAAGTACTACTGTGGATGCGTGTTGTACAACAGATTAGTTTTTCTAGATGAATTTCAAATTTATTTCATATTTGGCTAATTAGGGTACTTTCGTTTGGAAAATACTACTTGCCCAAGCTTGGAGACCGATTAAAAAACAGGGAAATAAGTAATCACGTGTAAACATATAACTATCACGTGTAAACAACAATTTGGAGGGAAGCCCAATTTAGAACCCATTTGGACTTGGGGAAACCCAAATTTCCGCCATCAGCCTCCGTTTTCCTCTCCTGCTCTCTGCTAGATTGAAGACAGAACTCCATTTTGACCGCACCCATTTCATCTCCAAATCCCATTTTCAGTCACAAAACTTCCATTTTCACTCAACGGTTGGTCCCATCTTCCCCACTGATTTTGGGTGACTTGTAGCTGTGGTACGATTTTCACTCCCGGAGGGTTTTGGACTCTGATTTGGGGTTCATTAGTGTAAATTTGAATTACAGAACTCCCAATTCTTATTTCCTAGCTCCTTTCGAAGACGAGGTCTGAAATGCAGCAAAAGGGAGCACGGGTCTGAATTTTTCCCAATTGAAGAACTCGTACAAATCAAACTCTCAGCCACTACAAAGGTATGTTGACTACAAATAGTTGTACTAGGGTTAAATAGTGTAAATTTGAATTCTAGTGATCGAATTTGTGGTATTGATGTGAGCGGAACATCTCTGTTTTGGTGGTATTATTATGAGCGGACAGAGATTCAAATTGAACTAATTCTTGTGTTAAAGAGGATAAAGTGAAATGNAAGTCTTGTGTTTAAGAGGATAAAGTGAAATGCTGGGATTTGGATTAGGTGTTACCAAGTCGAAAAATGTGAAAAATCACAACCATTGCTGCGATTGTTGAGTTGTTAGAGATCTGCAATTGCTCTTAGATTATAACACAAAGCTCTGCAATTACTGTATAGTAATTTTGCCCCATTGTTCTGTTTGTGGATTGAAACTGACAATTACCTTTTTTTTCTTAGCATAATTAATTATGGAGCACGTGGAGGACAAGCAGGATGATGTTTTGGTGCAATCTGAGAATGAGAACGTGACAGAGTCCATCAACGTAGTGGAAGGTGGAACGTCTACGGGAGTTGGTGTAAGTGTGCCGGAGGTGGGAATGTTGTTCAAAAATGAGAAAGATTTGTACGAGTTTTACATGCAATATGCTTATGCAGTGGGGTTTCCAGTTAAGAAAAGGAATTCAAAAAAAGGACGACGATTGAGTATTGAGATATGTGACCTTGACATGTAGCCGGGAAGGCGGGAGAATCGTGAATAGTAGCGGTTCGTTGAAGCCACAACCAACAGTTAAGATGGGTTGTAAAGCCAGGATATCTGCATCTTGTGATGATCTTGGAAACTGGAGAATTAACACGGTAAACCTAGATCACAACCATGAAACAAGTCCTTCTAAATCTAGGTTATATCGCTGAAACAGACAATTGAGTGTAACTATGAAACGAAAGCTTGAGGTGAATGATTTGGCAGGAATTGTGTTGCATAAAAGTTACAACTCTGCAATTGTAGAAGCAGGTGGATATGAGAACATGACTTGTATTGAAAAGGATTGTCGAAACTATATAGAACGAGTGAGGCGATTACGACTTGGAGAAGGAGATGCGGTAGCAATTCAATCATATTTTTCAAAAAATGCAAGCACAATGCTCGGGATTTTACTTTAGTATTGATATGGATGAGGAGTCGCGGCTATGCAATGTATTTTGGGCAGATAATCGGTGTAAGCGGCATATAAGGAGTTCGGTGATGTTGTCTCATTTGATACCACCTACCTCACTAACAAATACGACATGCCATTCGCCCCTTTTGTAGGCGTAAATCATCACGGGCAGTCGGCACTGCTTGATTGTATTTTGGTGTCTAATGAAGACACAGAGACATTTGTATGGTTGTTCAAGACATGGCCGCAATGCATGAACGGTCAAGCTCCAGATGGTATTATTACCGATCAAGATAGGACAATGCAGAATGCCATTCAGGTTGCCTTTCCAAATACAAAGCATAGATGGTGTTTGTGGCACATTTTGAAGAAGTTGCCAGAGAAGTTTAGCTACCATGAGGACAAGTGTTCGATATTTGGGGCTATACATAGATTGGTATATGATTCTCAGTCCACTGAAGAATTTGAAGACGGTTGGAGCACGATGATTGACACATACAGGATTGCATGAAAATGTTTGGCTATCAGGATTGTACGAGAGTATGGGACGCTGGGTCCCTTGCTTTTTGAAAACAAGTTTCTGGGCTGGGATGTCCACTACACAGAGAAGTGAGAGTATGAACGCTTTTTTCGATGGGTACGTGCATTCGAAAACATCGTTGAAACAATTTGTTGAACAATACGAACGTGCCTTGAGAAGCAAGGTTGAGAAGGAGTTTCAGGCGGATTTCAAATCATTATCGCAAATGGTATCATGTGCAACCCAATTTGAAATTGAGCAACAGTTTCAGTCCGTGTACACTATATCAAAATTTCGTGAATTTCAAGAAGAGTTAACGGGTAAAGTGTAAACCATTTCTTCTTCTTCTTCTCCTTCGAGCCTATTAATGGCTTTGAAGTGGTGATTTATTAGCCATAACGAGGTAGCAATCCCCAAAAGTCGGGGCTGCCAAACTTAGCTTATTTTTATGTCCCGATTAAATGTTAATTAATTTTAAAGAACTCGTACTAATATTTTTGAAAGTTCACAAATTTATCACTAAAAATAGTTAAATAGATCACAATATCCGTAATTGAAAATAACAAATCACATATATTACTAATTTTTTAAACTTAATCTAGTTTCAATCTAAATTAAAATAATAACCAATTATCAAATCAAGATTTTATGTTTTAACTAATAACAAACTAACTTTATCTAAATTAATCTACGTTTGAAAGCTTTTGGGGCAACTTTTAAGTTTTAGTGGTTAGAATTTCGATTTCACTTAGGGTGTGTTTGAACCCCCTTTTTTTTTTCGAAAGAATAAATTTCGTAGTAGTGATTTTTTGGAGAATATGTTATTAAAAAGTATAGAAAATTTTTAAATTTATGTATAAAATTCTTTTATTGAAAGAATGTGTGGTTGAAAATGAGTTAATTGAAAAAAATAATTTTTATAGAATGAAGGTCAAATAGGGGCTTAGATGATTTAATGTTCATCTAATTCAAATTTATTCAGTCCATTTTTCAAATTAATGACTCTGATACAAATAAGCTCGGCATTTAGTAAAGCGAGTGCAACACCTTCGATGGATCATTCTAATGATAGCTCAAAAATATCTAATCAAGAGGAGGTGAATTGGGTTTTAAAACTTTTTTTGAAAAATAAACTTTAATCAAACAAGTTAAGAACACGTTGATCAATTAATAATCGTAAACAAATAAAAGCTAGTAGAACAATCAAATAATAAATATAAATGAAATAACGATAAGTACAAGGATAGAGATGATGCAAACGATATAATTGTAGAGGTTTGATCCAAAACAATGATTTACGTCATCCATAATAAGCTAGACCGACACGAACAAGACATTTTCACTATATTGATTGACTTAAGATACAATCCAACTCTGCTCTTGGTGACTTACAAACAATGAGTATCGATCCGTATACAATATTGAGCTTTACGTGACCTCAATATGACCAACACGATAACTTATAACAAGGAGCATCGATCTTTATACTATTGAGCTTTCACGGGACCTCAATATGATCCACAAGTTTAGAACAATGATTTTACAATGAAATTTTTTTCTTAATTGAATTAAACACTAAAAGAGACTAATACTTCAATGAATAACAACAAATATTAGCTTGCGTGTTAAATTTTTTAATAAATGTGATAGTTAAAAATTAGATTCAATTAATCAAAGTTTTTCAATAAGAGGACGAAGAAGAATCAAATGCAATCTAAGTTCAAAAATTTTCTTAAAATATTTATCTCTTTTAATGAGTGATAACAATAAATTAAGTTCTAAAAGAGAGATGAGAAATTTTAATGAATATGATAATTAAAAGTTCGATTCAATCAATTAAAATTTTTAATATGAAGAAGTGGAAGAAGAAATAGATGCAATGTAAGTTCAAAACTTTTCTTCAAAATATATCTCTTTTATGAATGATAGAAATAAATAAGGTACAAAACTATAGATGAAAAAGTTTAATGAAAATGACAAAAAGAGTTTGAATCAGTCAAAATTTTTGTTATAAATAAATAAATGCAATGAATGCAATGTACACTAAAAGAATTCTTTCAAAATATATCTCACTTAATGCTCTTGAAATTTTTGTGAAGAATGAAAAGAGTGAGGGTGTTTATAGAATTCAAAAAGAAAAATATTATGTCTAACCAGACAATCAATCGAACGTCCGCCTCCGGATCTGGACGACCAAAGTAGCTATTATGCATATGTAATCTAAGGGTAAAAAATCTGACAGCTACATCAACCAGACATCCACGGATCTATAGAAAAAGATTTTATGAAACTTTCTAGGAATTCGGATGACCAACCAGACGACTAACCGAACATCCCCATGCTCAGATCAGATATCCGATAGTTTCAGCTGATTTCCCCTTTTTGACCCTATTACTTAAAGAAAATGTTTTGATAAAAAGTAAAATTAATTTTCAAAATGATGTTTGAAGTTAGATCATATTTTTAAAATATCATTTACCTTGAAAAGTAGTTAAAAATACCTTCCAAAAGTCTATATTTGTCAAAATATTCTAATAGGATCAAACAGGGTCAAAAACTGGAAAATTGACCGAAACAGCCGGAGGTTCGGTCTGAGCGTACGGACCTTGGATGTTCGTTCGGATTCCCAAAGGATTTTGCAAAACT